CTCTACAACGGGCAGCGGAAAAACAGTGGCGCCGACTTCATCTCCTTCGGGCTGGTGGGCGGCCGCCCCGAGTTTAGGTGAGAGCCACGAGTGGGTGCTCTGGGATAGGGGGGAGATGGATGCCAGCACCCACCCACACCCCTTGTGCCCCAAAACAATCAGGTTCGATGCGGGTTCGGGCATGGCCACCATCCGTCACCCCGTGGCGCTGCGGCTGGGGCAGTACCACACCGTGCGGCTGCTCCGCAACCTCACCTGGGGCTCGCTGGCACTGGACGGGCACCCCCCCGTCAATGGCACCTCCCAGGTAGTGATTCGGGGGGTGGTGGCGGGTATTGGGTGGGGGTCAGGGTACTGGAGGTGGTGCCCACCCGTCTGTGCCCCTGCAGGGGAAGTTCCAAGGGCTGGATCTGAACGAAGAGCTGTTCCTGGGCGGGTACCCCGACATCAGCGCCGTGGCCAAGACGGGGCTCAGCCGCGGCTTCATGGGTGAGTGGTGGGTTTTGGGGGGCACCAGGGTGAGGGGGGGCTGGGCATCACGTGGCAGTTGTGCCCATCCCCGTCCCTGCACAGGCTGCGTGCGCCAGCTCCGCATCCAAGGGGAGGACGTGGCCTTTGGGGACATGGACCTGCAGGCGCACGGTGTCACCAACTGTCCCACCTGCCAGGACCGGCCGTGCCAGGTGAGGTTGGAGGGGGTGGGAGGTGCCCACCCATCGCCACCCATGGCTGACACCCACGTCACCCCCTCCCCAGAACGGCGGCGTGTGCCAGGACGACGAGAGTGGCACCTACATGTGCCGCTGTCCCCACGGCTTCACCGGCAGCAACTGCGAGTACTCGCAGGCTCTGCACTGTCACCCAGGTAGGTGACACCGCCCTGCCGTGGGGATGTCACCTCGGTGTCCTCTCGGCTGGGTGCTCATGGCTTGTCACCCCACAGAGGCCTGTGGGCCCGATGCCACCTGTGTCAACCGGCCGGACGGGCAGGGCTACACCTGCCGCTGCCACCTGGGCAAGAGCGGGGACAGGTGCACTGAGGGTGAGTGACACGGGGACACGGGGCTGGCACCGCCCTGGGGACACGGCACGGGGTGGGGACCGTCCCGGGGAGGTGGGACATGGCCGGGACCACCCCAGGGAGATGGGCACAGACCTGGGACCACTGTGGGAACTTGGGAACATGAGTGGGTACCACCCTGGGGACACGGGGATGGGGCGGGTACCACCCTGGGGAAATTGGGGCATGGCTGGGGACCACCCTGGGGACACGGGGATGGGGTGGGTACCACCCTGGGGAAATGGGGGCATGGCTGGGGACCACCCTGGGGACACGGGGATGGGGTGGGTACCACCCTGGGGAAATTGGGGCATGACTGGGTACCACCCTGGGGACATGGGGATGGGGTGGGTACCACCCTGGGGAAATTGGGGCATGGCTGGGGACCACCCTGGGGACACAGGGATGGGGTGGGTACCACCCTGGGGAAATTGGGGCATGGCTGGGGACCACCCTGGGGACACGGGGATGGGGTGGGTACCACCCTGGGGAAATGGGGACATAACTGGGGACCACCCTGGGGACACGGGGATGGAGTGGAAAGCACTCTGGAGATGTGGGCATGTGATGGGAACCACCACAGGGAGATGGGCACAGGGCTGGGGACCCCCGGCTGTGGACATGAGGCTGGGACCACCCTGAGGACACAGATAGAGGGCTGGGACTGTTCCAGGGAGATGGGCATGGAGTTGGGACCACCCTGGGGAGATGGATACAAGGCTGCCACCACCCTGGGGACACTGGCACAGGGATCAGGACCAGCCTGGGGATATGGGCACCGTGGGGATGGAGGTGTTGGGGTCCCACTGTGGGTATGGAGGTTGTGGAGGGATAATGGGGTCCCACCATGGGGTTGGAGGTTGGGGATGGGTGATGGGGTCCCACCATGGGGTTGGAGGTGGGGGTCCCACCATAGGACGAAGGCTGGGGATGGATAATGGGATCCCACCACGGGATGGAGGTTGGGGATGGGTGATGGTGTCCCGCCCTGGGGAGGGAGGATGGAGTTCTGCCATGGATATGGATGTTGGGGTTCTGCCATGGATATGGATGTTGGGGATGGATGTTGGGGTTCTGCCATGGATATGGATGTTGGGGATGGGTGATGGGGTCCCACCTGGGGATGCAGGCTGTGTCCCACCTGGGGATGGAGGTGGGGTCCCAGCGTGGGGATGGAGGTGGGGTCCCAGCGTGGGGCACTGACTGGGGTGCACAGGGGAGGCGGTGAGCGTGCCGTCCTTCGAGGAGGACGGAGCCTTCGTGTCGTACCCACCCCTCACCAACGTGCACCACGAGCTGCGCGTGGAGGCCGAGTTCCTGCCGCTGGCACCCGACGGGCTCCTGCTCTTCAGCGCCGGCAAAGCCGCCCCCGTCGAGGACTTCGTGGCCTTGGCCATGGTCGGGGGCCACCTCGAGTTCCGCTACGAGCTGGGCTCAGGTGGGTGGCACGGGGTCGAGGGCACTGCGGGGGAGGGCTCTGGGGATCCCGGGGGTAGGGAGTGATGTGGCCTTACCAGGGTCCATCGGTGTCACGAGGGTCCCTGAGCTGTAGTGGGGTCCCCTGGCACCGCTGGGGTCCCTCGGTATCATTGGGGTCCCCAGGTGCTGTCAGGGTCCCTGATCATCAGTGAGGTCCCCTGTTGTCACCAGGGGGTGACCCTAACCCCAACACTTGGCATCACTGAGGTCCCCAAGTATCACTGGGGTCTTCTGGTGCCACTGGGGTCCCCAGGGGTCCCTGGGCATTCCTGAGGTCCCCTTGGAATTCCTGAAGTACCCCAGTGTCACTGGGGTCCCCTGGCATCACATCCCTAGGAGTTAGGGTCCCCAGGCATCACTGTCACACCACTGGGGTCCTCGGGCACTGCTTTGGTCCCCAAATATCACTGTGGTCCCTTGGCCACACTGGAGTCCCCAAATGTCACTGGGGTCTTCTGGCACCACTGGGTCACTGGGTTCACACACCACTAAGTGTCACCTTGATCTCACTGGGGTCCCCTGATGCTGCCAGGGTCCCTGGACATCTGTGGGGTCCCCTGGTATCGCTGGGGTCCCTTGTCACCACTGGGGTCCCCAGGCACCACCGAGGTTCCCCAGCATCACTGGGGACACCTCTCAGGTTCCTGAGCATCTCCAGTGTCCCCTGGTGTCCCCTGGTGTCCCCTGGTGTCCCCTTGTGTCCCCTGGTGTCCCCATTGCCCCCCATGACCTGCCCCATCCCCAGGCCCGGCGGTGCTGCGGAGCACGGGCCCGGTGGCACTGGGACAGTGGCACTGGGTGACGGCCGAGCGGCTGAACAAGGACGGGACCCTCGTGGTGGACGACGCGGCCCCCGTGAAACGCTCCTCGCCCGGCAAGAGCCAGGGGCTGAACCTGCGCAGCCCCCTGTACCTGGGGGGCACCGAGCCCCCGCTCCAGCCCCCCACCAACGCCTCCTTCCGTGGCTGCATCGGAGAGGTGAGACCCCCTGGTGTCCCCTCAGGGGGGGAAAACACCCGTGGTGTCCCCTTGGTGGGGACCTGACCCCCCCCTTGTTGTCCCTTCAGCAGGGAGGTGACCCCTCTTGGTGGCCCCTTGCTGGGAGGTGACCCCCATTGGTGGACCTTCAGAAGGGGGGACCCCCGCTTAGTGTCCCCTCACTGGGGGGAGATCCCTCTTGGTGTCACCTTGGTGGGGAGCTGACCCGCCTTGGTGTCCCTTCATTGGGGGGGTGAACCCCCTTGGTGTCCTTTCACTGAGGGAAGACCCCTTTGGTGTCCCCTTGGTGGTGTCCCCTCACTGGGGAGGTGACCCCCTGTGTTGGTGTCCCCTTGGCAGGGAGGTGACCCCCTCATTCATGTTCCCTTTGGCGGGAATGTGACCTTCCCCTTGGTGTCCCCTCATTGAGGAGGTGACCCCGTTGGTTGGGATGTGACCCCATTGGTTGGGATGTGACCCCATTGGTGTCCCCTCATTGGGAAGGTGGCTCCGTTGGTGTCCCCTCGGTTGGGAGGTGACCCTGCTGGTGTCCCCACGGGGTGTCCCCCACTGGGGGGAGGTGAGGAGGTGCCATTGGTGAGGAGGTGACCCCCTTGGTGTCCCCTTGTTGGTGTCTCGTTGTTGGGGAGGCGACCCCTTGGTGGAGAGATGACACTTATTGATGTCCCCTTGGTGTCCCCCCCGGGGGGTGACCCCTCACTGGGGAGGTGACCCTCTTGTTTGGGAGGTGCCCCCACTGGCAGGGACGTGACCGCGTGTGGTGTCCCCACTGCGAGGTGGCCGTGGGGTGTCCTCTCCTTGAGGTGTCCGTGTGGTGTCCCCCCAGGTGTCCGTCAACGGGAAGCGGCTGGAGCTGCGGGAGCGGTTCCTGCGCAGCCGGGGGGTCCGGCCCTGCAGGCACCG